CCTGCTCTTCGCGGCCCGCCTCCTGCACGATATCGAGCCATTACTGCAGGAGGTGAAAGGTGGAGTTTTATCGGGGTGAATTGCATGGAGAGAATGATTTTTTACTGGTATCGTCGGTCCAGTTTCTCCTTCTGCACTTTCTTCGTCTTTCTTATTTGGCACAACTCCTCCCTTTTTTTTTGTCTTTCAACCCTTCATATATTATTCATGCACACTGCCGCTGCATCCATGCAGTTTCTGGGTCATTGCTAGTGCGTTGTCTTTCGCCTGCTGCTGCGGAGAAGGGGTGGCATGCTCCTGCCGAGAAGGAGTGATGTTCCGCAGGCCAGATTGCACAGCCACCGTCACTTGCGCCATCGTCCCCTGTGCTCGGCGGAGGAGGCTCTTGGCGATGCGAATCACCGGGTTGAAGAAGACCCCAAAGACATGGAGGCCTTGCTGCAACGCGCAAAGGCGTTAATGCGCTTGGGAGGCCACAGCGCCGCCCTCATTGATCTCTCTGTCCTTATTGACTTCATGCAGGGGCGGGGCGCCTTGGATGAGCTTGTTTACGTTTTGTTCTCACGTGGCGTTTGTCACGCGAGGTTGTCGTGTATCGACGAGGCCATCGCAGACTTCACCGCGGCCCTTGATATTGACCCGGTCCACGAACGCTCCGCCTACGAGCGTGCAGCGTGCCATAACAGAAAAGGAAACTTCACCGCGGCCATACTGGACTATGAGAGGGCGTTGCAACACGATGAGGGACGGAGGAAATATCTTATGCAACGAAATGCTCGTCGTCGATTGGCGTCTTCGCGACAGAAGCAGAGCGTCTTCGCGCCATCAAAAGGATCTACGCCTCTGTGTGTGGCGGCCTCTCTTTCACAGTGTGCCGACGACAATACTGGGCATGCCAGCAACGGGCGGCCAGCACTCGAAGCCTCAGTCAGTATTCGCGCAGAAAAGTCGTCTATTCACGACAATGTGTCGAGTCTGGAAAACCTCACTGACACGCTTATACGTGGTCCTGAAGAAGAAGAAGAGGGGGAAGAAGAGAGGAAACAGCAAGCTACGTCTTTGCTTCACAACAGGGAAGCGGCGGAACTCCATCATCAGCGCGGGCTGACGTACCGGAAGCAGGGTGACTTGGTGCACGCTATCAAGGAGTACACCGCATCTATTCAGCTTGACCCGAGGAACTTCAAAGCGCTCTTTAACCGAGGGTTCTGCCACGACAAGATTGGGGATTACAATGCGGCTATCCGGGACTATGAAGCCGCCATGCAGCTGGAGCCGGGGTACGCGTACACATACTACAACCTCGGCATATCGCACGACCGCCGTGGCGACCACTACGAAGAGGCCATCGCCATGTTTGACAAGGCCATCGCGCTCGATGGAAGCAATGCCGACTTCTACCACAACCGCGGGTTCAGTCAGCGAAAACTAGGTAACTACCGTGAGGCCGTCAAGGACTATACTACGGCAATATCCCTGGACCCAAAGCATTTTAAAGCGTACTACAACCGCGCTTTTTGCTATGACAAGGTTGGGGACATTACCAGGGCTTTTGAAGATTACACACACGCCATCGCTATTCAAGAGAATAATCCCAACGCTTATCACAACAGAGGTGCTGCGCTTGAAAAACTGGGTTCCCTAGATGACGCTCTCAAGGACTATACACAAGCCATTCAGTTGGATGGTAAAAATTCTTTCACCTATAATGCTCGAGGTCTTGTCTATGATCAACTCGGCAAGTATGATGCTGCCTTGCGAGATTTGACCCAAGCCATTGCGCTTTCTCCAGGTAACGCTCTATTTTATCAAAACAGGGGCTGTGTGTATCAAAATATGGAACGCTTTCCGGAAGCACTGCGAGACTATGACGTTTCCTTGAATTTATCTGTACAAGAAGAAATGACGACGCAGGGAGCTCTTGAGGATACCAAGAAAACACAGGAATTGCGTGCAGCGAGGTTTAAAACATTTATCAACCGCGGCTTCTGTTACGTACACGAAGGTAACTACGAAGCGGCTGTTCGGGACCTCACTGAGGTCCTTGCAGTGGACACTAATAACGTCTTCGCATTACATAACCGTGGAATTTGTTTCGATAAGTTGGGAATCCACAGCCACGCCGTGGGGGATTTCTCCCGCCTTATTGAAATAGACCCGGAGAATGCAAATGCGTATTTTAGCCGAGGCTCCGCCTTGGAAAGCTTACAGGAGTACGCGAAAGCGCTGGATGACTACGCCGTCACACTCACTTTGGAAATAGACCAGAGTGGACTGGAAGATGAAAGCGCCTTGGTAAAATTCAAAACGGAGCACCGCGCCACGGTGGCATCTCAGCGGGTTTTGCGGTTCTTGAAAGGGCAGAGCGTGCCTACAGGTTCTCGAAGACCACATTAAGAAGTATGTGAAATGAGTTGTTTCTATGCCTACAGTGGCAGGTGCCATTTTAAAAGAAGATGTGTGTGGACTTGCATTTGAGGACTTTTCGGCTCTCTTGTTGGCTTCTGCGCTCCTCCTTCTGGTGTATGTATGTATGTGTGTGTGTGTGTGTCTTTTTTTTTGTTGTGGTGGGGTTTCTCTGTCTCGTCAGTGGAGGAGAAAAGTGGGAGGGGTGATTGTTGTGATGTCACAGGATGGCAGGGACACCGTGGAGGCGTTTCAGAAGGACCACCAGGTCATACTCACACTTATGGCGCACGCGGCCATGCAGTCTGTGAACTCAAGAGCTGGCGAGTTCGTTTTTGAGACCTTGTGTTCGGCTGAACCGTCTCTGACGGATACATATGCCGAAGTGACAGTGCTACATGAGGTTCATCAAATTCGCCGTGCCTTGCGCAATCTGCACGAGTGCCCGCCGCACTCACGGCCAGCCTTGTATGAGACAGTTCGCAACTCGTTGAGGCGTCTCCACGATGTCCTCCCTGATCCATTGCTGTTGGTTGTTCTCAGATCGATAGAGAAGTTGCAAGATAGTCATCAGGTCTCTCGCGCTCTGGATCCTTATCTGCTCGATCTGGTTGAACACATCCAGTTGGTGGTGCTACAGGAGACTAAATTCCTGCAGTGCCGTGGGGCTAACATAACGCTGCGGCTACGGGACGCTCCGCCGTTTGTTTCAAGAGCATCAAGGTCGTACTCGTGAGAGTTAGCAGTTATGACGACAAGAGAACTCTATGGGTATCTGTGTCTCTTCTTTCTGTGTTGGTGGTGAGTCTGAAGGGCAAGTGGTGTCTGTTGTTTTGTAGGATGATAAATGCTTCAGTTTGGTGTTAGCATGCGATCCCTTTTTTTTCTATTTAAATTCTCTGCTTGGTCTCCAAAGTTCAAAATCCGTTTTGTGAAGAAAGCTCTGTATACTATAATGCTGGATTGCTCCGCAGTTACGACTGTCTTTGCTACTATAGTAGTGGGGCTACTGTTTATCGATTTGGTTCCATTGCAGGAGAACATGGTCTGCTTGAAGGGCTATAACGATACGAGCAGCTGCCCAGAAGTTTTCTTCTCTCAAAGCTACCACACGGCGCGAACAAAGTTTGTGGAGGCGGCGAAGGAGGCGAAGGCGGAGATGGAGCGGCATGTCGTTGTGCAGGAGGACGGCATCGATTATACAATAGATACCGCCTTCCTGCGCGGGACAAAGTCCAAGAGGCTTCTCGTCCATATGACGGGTACCGATGGAGTGGGCGGTTACGCAGGGAGCGCTGTGCAAGTGAAGCTGCTGCGGGAGTGGAACAGCAGCCGCGCAGAGGGTGCGTCGGTGCTCTTCGTGCACGCCGTCAACCCTTACGGCATGGCGCACTACCGCACCAACAATGAAAATAACGTGGACCTCAGACGCAACTACTTCTCAGGGGAGGAGTGGAAGAGCGTCTTGGCGCGCGACCCGAACAGCACGGGGTACGAGGAAATTGTGGCCGCCCTGATGCCGGCGAAGGCACCACACTTCATTGATCGGTACGTCTTCTTCCTCCGAATGGTCAAGTCGCTCGCGGTGAATGGCCTCCATGCGTTCTGGCGGGCTATCGGTGCTGGGCAGTACCACCGCCCAGAGGGCATCTGCTACGGTGGGCGTGAGCAGCAGCGCAGCGTCAGTGTCGTGCTGGAGCTGCTTGCCAAGCACGCCGCGGAGGGTCTTGAGAAGTCCATTCTGTTTGACGTGCATAGCGGCTACAGCAAGGGCGTTGATACGATAGCGGTGAGAACTCCCGCGGACGCAGCGCTTGCAAACGCAATCTTTAAATCGTCGCTGGTAAAGGGCAATCAGAACGCGGGCGATGAACTGCCGCTCGGCTCTCTTACCGCGCTGGACGCACTCGGCAAGAACAGCCTGGTGCTCCGGGAAAACTTTGGTACCGTTAATGAGATG